AATAAATTAAACTAATTTCCCCACATCGAGTCTGTTTTGCCTGTGACGGTAATTGCTGACTGATCTCTCCCTGTCCTTATCTTGACCCACAAGCTTTTCGTTATAATTTCTCTCCCCTGTCCAGCTGAGAAGGGGAGTGATAGAGCAGCTTTGGTGGGCACCTGGCATCCAGCCAGGGTCAACCCACCATAGTGTGTGTGTGTGCATGCTGGCAGTGTGACGGTGTGCTCCCCCCTACCCCCAATCCGACCTTTATTTCCCTTAACCCTGCTCAAGCGATGACCACCGGTGGCAGTTGTAATGGATTCATCTGGTTGTGATGGCTGCATCCAGCTCAAAATGGATTCGGGAGATAGATAACACCACAATAGCCAAGGGCTAATTTGAGCAACGCACCCACCTAACCACAGTGCTGGTCAATGAAACTAAAACCTGTGGTCATTATGCAAATATGACTATGAGTCAATCATCTTACCCCCATAAATAGTGAGCAGCCCAAGAGCCCTTTGAGCTTTCCTGCATGGCAGTGGGCTGCAAGACAGGATCTCCCCTTGAGTAGGGATGCCTCTCAAGGTTACACCTGCTGAAGTGATCCCTCCTCAATATTGAGAGATTCCTTGCCGCAACAGATCCTTGGTAAGTGACTGATAGCTTGCTAAACTTTGTAAGCTTTGCTAAGATTATATCTTAGGTTGATTGTGCACATATAATCCTTTAGACATAAACCATTGACCAAGTCTGGGACTAGGATTGGATCCAGCCGCACCTAGGCTCCTCTGAGTAGGAGTTTAGAAAGCAAGGGGGTCCTCTCTGAACCTCATGACTCAACAGGAGGGTCTCCCTGACAGTTTTGTCTGACTTACCCTGTCCTCTATGCAGTAAATAATCCAGTGTACCTTGCCATCTAAATCTTGTTAAAACACCGTCACATTTGCTATCAAACTTTGTTAAGTCACTGTTATATATCAATAGACATATTGCTGCTTCTCTCTCATGAGTGAAGGGCACTCCATCTGTGACAGGCAGGCAGATTGCATGCACATGTGTGTACAGGTGCAAACAGGATGGTTTTGTGTGTGTCTTGGCAGGGCAGTTAGGCATGCATAGGTGTGTGCTTGCATATAGGTAGAACAGTTTGCAGGTGGGTGTAGGCAGGACAGGTGGGTGGGTGTGCACATGTGTGTGCACACACGTGTGTATAGGTAGAACAATTGGGCATCTGTCCATATGGTCAGAACAATTGCATACGTGTGAGTGCTTGAGCACATATGGGTAGGACATTTCTGTATGTGCATGTGTGTAGGGAGGAGAGTCATGTGCATATGTGTGGGCATGCGTGTGTGTGGGTACGCCATGCCCATTCCCTGGGGTTTAGTGGGGCCCTGTCAAGGAAGATGAGAAATCCCACGCTGGCCCGCACGGGAACTCAGCAGCTCATATAAATACCACTCCACTTACAGCAGGGGCCATGTAATGAAAATCCGATGGGCGTGCTGGTGGGAGTAAATATGCCATTAAAATGAGAAAATCAAAGCTCTGGACAGGTCTTTTCTCTTGCCCATTGATTTCTTTTATTACAGAAATATTACTGCTAAATAACATTAGTGTGAACAATCTCAGCAGTGTTTTCCATAGTGCCTGTGTCAATAACTCAATCATAGGCAGGCGATTCCCCCCAGCCTGGCCACATCCCCGTCCAGGCTAAGGGCTGCGCCGGGGGTACCTTTCTCACTGTCCCCGGCCATGCTGGGATGTGCCCGGCAGAGAAACCAGGCAGCGAGGGGTGACTTGGGCAAGTGCCACCAGGAGGGAGCTGGGCTGGGACCCAGGAGCCCTGGCTGCTTTTCTGCAGTGGAAGAGGTTGTCCCCATCCCAGCACTGAGCAGGAGCAGGGACAGTGCCAGGCATGCAAGGGTTGCAAAAAGCAGCCCTTCCCTTTGGGGCGGGTGTTTGCAGCCTCTTACAGAGCAGGTAAGTGTCACCAGTGACCAGCAGATAAGGGATGGGTCCTAGACATAGCATGTCCCACAGGCTTTTGCTGCCTCTGCCCCTTCCTCCCCACTCCCCCTCTTCAAGACCCATCCATGCCCCTGTTCATGCTGGACAGGCCCAGCTCCCTGCAGCTTGCCATCATTTGGTTCACGTGGAGAAACTGTGACACGGGGAGGGAACTCATCCACAGTCACCCAGCTCCAACACAGTCCCTGTGCCAGGGCCAGGGCTCACGCTCAAGCTGCCCCTCTCCCCGTCGGCTGCCCACATGCAGGTGCCCAGCACCCTCCAAGATGTCCACGGGCGGCAGGGACATCCCTGTGGGGCCAGAGGATGTGACCAGGACACAGATCTGCACCCTTTGGTACCCAGAGACCAGGTGGGACCCCAGGGCACCTCAGAGGACACCAAAGCCCTGCGGGGTGGCCGGAGATGGACAAGGATACTCAGCCACGGGCACCTGCACCCTGGGTCTGGCTCTGTCCCAGCCACAGCTGAAGTGACCACGAGCAGCAGCTCCTCGGAGCCATTGCCAGGACAAATGCACATCGCTGCCCACCAAACACCTTCCCCCTGCAGCTCACTCTATCTGGTTGTCCTTCTGCATGCAGTGGGTATTGATCAGCCCGCAGGATCGATCTCCTGATTCCTTCTGTGGTATCTCTCTGCTCAGAGTATCTCTCAATCTGCTCCGCTGTCTGCCGTGCACATCTATAGCTCCAGTATCTGACATGGCGC